TTCAGAGGCCCATCGCCCAGGTGATTTTACTTTTTGCTAATTTGACAACACATAGTGTTGTAACATAGAGTGGTCACATCACACTATGTGAGGTGATGTATTTTCCACTTAGATTTAAGAAGTCTACAATATATTGATATGATTTTAAACATAATATTTTATACATTATAAAGTATACAAAGATGTTCATCTATCTAAAAATAATAGAAATAATGAATGCTTATGACCTTTTCTTTCCCTGCTTACTATAAGATATCATGGCCAACTAAACCCCTGGAAGGTCTCTGCCATTAGGGTTCTATTGAGCTCTAGGTAGGAACCAGGTCCCTGGATAGGTCCACAGGTAGGTAGGAAGACAGACACCAAACTGAATAGGAAGATAAATGGAGTTAACCATGAAAGAAAGAACACTCCTTGACACATCCAGCATGGTAACCAGCTAATCAAATCAGGTCAAATCATATTCTAGACAATTTTCTAGGCAGCCTTCAGAGACTCACCCAGGCTGAGAAGCCAGCCAATTATACCCGATCATCCTCTGCAGCCCTGTCCTTACAAGAGACAAGTCGAGACTGGCCCAATGTAGACAAATGAGTAGTACTTCTATTATCTCTGAAAGGCAATCTAATTCCCTTCAAATTTAAAAGTCTCCACAGTTTCCTAACAGGCCTCAGTGGGGCACATGTAGAAATTAATAAGTTCACGGTGTGCCCAGCTTGCTTTCATTATCATTTTTTTGTCATGCAACGGACGGGATTTTCATTATTACTTGAGGATTTTTCTGTGTCTGATTCTTTAAGAAGGTCAAGCCTACAGAGCTCAGACTCTGAGTTGAGAAGTAAGCCAAGCAAGTCTAATGGAGCTGGCTGACAACTCGTGGAGGTTTTGCTGGTCAAATAGGACAGGCATTCGAGCAAAATCATAGGGTCATGGAGCTCAGAGTGTCCTACAGAAGGCAGACTCCTGTCTCTGCCACAAGTTCAACTATCCTAGAATTCTGCGTAAGTTGCTTAACTCCAATTAGGTATTTCTTCCATAAAATAAGCATGGATAAAAGGCTAGAGAAGGAAATACAAATGTATTAAACACACACCACATTCGGAGCATGTGGCACAGACACTCTTTACATTTCATCCAAAGAACAACCCTGGAAAGCCTAGCTTATTCACAGATACTGTTATTAAAGCTAGTACAGTCAGCTACTCTGCCATGCTGTCACCAATTCATCATTAGAGTGAGTGACATGGGAGCCAGAGGAGGAGGATTCAGATGGTGTCCATAGGATTACAAAGTCAGACAACTCTTGCAAGAGCAATCTAGTGTGTTTCAGGAGCTTGCAAATGTTTGACCAGCTAATCATACTGTTGAAAACACATAGTCAATAAACTCAGAAAGGCAGGTGTGTTGCAACAAAATAGAAATAGATACATTGCCAATGGGGAGAAGGTAAACTCTAGAATATTCATTAGGGTATGTAGAGTGTTAGCATTATTTAATTAGCACTCAATTCTAATTTTAAATGAAAGAGGTGATAATAATTTTTAACAAAGAATAGACACGTGACTGAAAGGAGGCCTCCTGAAATGCTGAGTCTCTAGTGGTGGAGGGTGCAGCTCTGTGCTTTTTTATGTGCACTTCACAGTACTTCCATGTTTCCTACAGCCAATGCTTTTTCTTTCATTTAAATGAACACTGTTTACTATAGCACATAATTCTAAACTAGTTTTCAACAGAATTTTTTTTCTAAAAATCCTAAAAGGTAGGAGAAGATAAGAAAAAGAAAGTTGGAAAAAATGATTTAAAGGGGACAGCCTTTGACAGAGTGTAGCTCAGTTCTCCTGATGAACAGGAAGTAAAGATGCATGCAGAAAGCAGGGGAAAGTGACCCCCAATGCAAGAGTGGTCGATAAGGGGAACCAAAAGCTCCAGCTGACATGGAGAGTGATGAAGCAGGCAGATATAAATTTTTCAATTTTATGAGAATGATAGGGATCTGAAATAAATCTTCAGTATTTTCTTTTTAAGACAAATGTTTTAAAAATAAATGCCCTTAGCATGGATGGATGGCTAGTGTCTGTGTCTTGTCTTATAGCTGGCCATAAATAATCCTGAGAAAAATAGCTTTGACCATAGTAAAAGAGCACCTTTATTTTTTACTCTTAAGAGCTTGCCAGATTATATTTTGATGCATTAAGCCAGATTTCTTTTTAAGGCAGCTGCAAAAATAACAGGTGGAGTATAGAAATTGTCTCTGGTTGGAAATAGCTACTCAGGGCTGGGCTGAGGGGCAAATCCCAGTTTCAAAACATGCCTCAACAACTGTGGGCACATCTGATAAAATCCAAATTCAAGTTTAAGGCACTTGATGGGGCTTCAAATTAAGAAATACTTTGGAGTGTCTCCAGGTGAACTTTTTAATTGTCTGTAAGCCCTCAAAACTGAGAAAGCTAACTAATCTGCTATGAATATAAACTCTCAAAGATCAGATTTGTCTGAATGTAAATGTCCTTTTATTGTGGTCTCTCTGTTAAGAGTGGGTCACTTTGCTGTAGACTTTTGTTCCTTGTTCATGACCGGACACAAAAAGAGTTCCATTAGGGGTAGACATAATGAATAATCAGACACACTGCTCATCTCAGCCTCCAAGCACTGGAGTGACTAAAGGACACCCTGATACTTCCTGGAAGTTGGCCAGTAGTTTATACTGATAGGCTTGAAAGAGAGGTCAACCCCACAGAGAGGAATGGGAAAGATAAAGCTCTGCTCAGTGGGAAGGCCTCTGTGCATACATTGTAAGAGAAAGGGGTTCACACATAGATGAAAAAGGAAGCCAACTGGGGGTTATGATACAGATCTGTGATTCCAGCACTCAGATAGCCAGAAATCACAGGTTTGAGGACAACCTGGGATCTATACTGAATTCCAGGTCAACCCAGATAAATGTTGCTTCTTAGGACAGAAGGAAAGGAAGGAGGGAGGGACAGGAGAGGGAAGGAGAGAATGAGGAAGAAGGGGAAGGAGGGAGAACAGAAATATCCAGAGGAAACTGTGACTCAGCTCTCTGTATGTGAGATCTGATTCATGGAGATTAACCAGAATCTTGCATTTTTATAATAAATCTATCAGTTTCTAAATGTTGTATCTATTTTTAAAGCACACGCTGAATGACAAACCAAACAGTTCCATGACCCAAACAGTTTTTGCTGATACTTCCTTCAAAAATCTTATTTCCAGACACTGTTAAAGGCATTGGTTAAACCTATGACCATATTAATTACATTCAGAAGAAATGTGAGGTAGATTGTTTCCAGGCTGTTGAAAAAGGTTGGGGTGGAACTTCACCCTTTGTAGAAAAAAATGGCCTGAGAATTGTACTACAACATGTCATTTGGTTAGAGGACATTTGGAAGATGTTTGGGGATTCCCCAACCTTAAACATCACAGAAGTCACAGTGAGGTGCTCTTCGTAGTTATCATTCTATAGAAAATAAGGATAAAGCCTTTCAAGAGTCTTCCCTTCTCTGTAAGAATTCTTATGGGCTTACCTTCACATAACACTGAGTTTAACCCAGCCCATCATTCCCGACTTGATAATGTTCTGTAATGAATAAAAGGCCTTCACAGAGCATCTCTCTTAAAAGTGCAAAAGAGTCATTTTTTTTTTCTGCCCAAGTAGCTCATAATGTAGCAGACAAACTGTCAGAAAAAATAGACTTCATCATGGTGAAAACCCCAGCCTGGCACCCATCGATCATAAAGCAATCTTCTAGAGGTCTTGAAAACCTTCATTAAATTTCCTGTCTTTCTCTTGACAGTTATAAAATGTTAACAATATTCCTCGTGATTCAGGCATCTTCAGACATTCTTTGTCTAAGGCCTTCTACCCAAGGCTTTGCCCTTTTCCTTGTCTTTACACAAATCCATGGAAGCAGTTGATAGTTTAGTATCCTACACACAACTGTTCTGGAGTCTGACCTTTGCAGGACATCAAGGTGAGAGCAGTAATAGACTTGAAGACACAAGAAACCTCTCTAGCCAGAAAGCACAAAGGGCAAAGTAACCCTGACTTCAAATTCCTCCTCTAAAAGCCACACTCACCTTGAAGTTCACCTTGAAGTGGGCACAGTCACATTCTACCTTTAGCAATCTTTTTTGATACTTTTAATTTCCTTTTCTTCCTAATCTACTAAGATACAAGTCCCCAATGTGGTATGTAGCTAGTGGGAACAGTGATGTCCAAATTTTGTCGTGTCTATGGGCCATCTCTCTAAGAGCAAAATTCTCCAAAGGCATTTCACAAGTCCAACTCCACCAACTCCAGGGGCCACCTCAGCAAGTTATCACTTCTTAGAAGAACAAAAACGAGGATGTAGCACAAGTCTTCAGTCCTATTACGTAGAACACAGAGACAGGGGCTGAAGAGATGGCTCAGTGGTTTAGAGCACTTACTGCTCTGCCAAAGGTCATGAGTTCAATTCCCAGTAACCACCTGGTGGCTCATAACCATCTGTAATGGGATCTGATGTCCTCTTCTAGTGTGTGTCTGAAGATAGCTACAGTATAGTCATATAAATAAAAAGTAAATAAATCTTAAATGGAAGACAGAGACACAGAGATGCTGATCTCTGTGAGGTCGGAACCAGCCTAGTCTACATATCGAGTTCCAGAATAGTCAGAATTACATAGAGAGGCTATGTCTCAAAGAAAACCAAAACAGTAAATGCAATCACACACACACACACACACACACACACACACACACACACACACGCAAAAGAACATAGTCTTCCATGGGAAGCAATGTGAAGGAGATTAACCATAAGGAGATAAAGAGTCCACATTGGCAATGAGAAGAGACACACAGCATGAAAGCCACAGGATATCTGCACATAGGGCAGTGACAATAGCTTTTAGAGGTCCTAGCTAAGCTTTGTGGAGGTCTGCTATCAGGCCTCCAGAGTGAATCCTGCCTGAGCATACTAAGATATCAGTCATCCTACCTGCAAAAGGCACTGGGGCATCTTTATCCAGGGCTACCAGTGGAGGGTCCAAGATGACAGTGTCATTGTTCTCAGTTATGACTCCATGATACGATGTCTCGATCCATGGCTTGTGCTTATTGACTAGAGAACAACACAAAACAAAAAGACGATCATGTGAATATCTTATACAAAACAGAACTAGCAGTGTTTCATATTTGCCACATCATAGACCTAACAACTTAGGTCATAAAACATTAGCCCACTTGTTATGTAGAAAAGATTCAGAGATGTGTATCTATAGCCCAGTGGTACACTCATGGCCCACATAAGATAAGCATCAATATAGACAGATATTATTAAGAGTTAAAATTTCTAATGTCGCCGATTAATAGATGTTTTTGAGTTAAAATTCATTATCAGTCAACAAATCAGCAGATTATACTGTGTGCTAGAAATTCTAACCTCAACTCAACTGGGTCCATCTGTAGATATCATTAGCAGATTAACATACATGCATATAAAACACACATATGTACAAGTCCCCATATATATGTCAATATTCAACAAACACTGAGTATTTTCTGATGATTTAAAGACTATTCAAGTGGTCTATTATATATTAATTAAACTTTTTCTTCAATAAACTGAACAATTCAAATTATACATTGTTTAATGAACAACTGCATAAACATATATCTAACATGCTACAGGTTTAATGTCAGTGCATTCAAAAATTATATTGGCCTCCAGTGCCTTAAAGATTGTCCTTATTTAGAAATAAAATCTTTACAGAGGTAATCTGTTTTAAAATGGGGCTACTAGGGTAGATCTTAAATGATAATGACTGGTGTCCCTATTAAAAGGGAAATTTTTCAGGGTGGGGAGGGCAGAGAGAGAGAGACAGAGAGAGAGACAGAGAGAGAGAGACAGAGAGAGAGAGACAGAGAGACAGAGGGAGGGAGGGAGGGAGGGAGGGAGGGAAGCAGGCTCAGTGGTTAACAGCACTGACTGGTCTTCCAGAGGACCACAGTGCAATTCTCAGTACCTACATGGTGGCTAACAACTGTCCATAATTTCAGTTCTAAGGGGAGCTGGCACCTTCTTCTGGCCTCTGTGGACACTGCACAGACATAGTACCTAGACATGGTACAAAGACATCCATGCAGCCAAAACACCCAAGCACATAAAATAAAAATAAATATTTAAAAAGCAGGAGGTAGGGGGTGAGATTTTCACCTAGAAACAGCCAAGCACCTAAGAAACACACTGTGAAAGATTGGAGCTGGCCTGAGAAAATAATTCACTTGGTATAGTGCTTGCTGTATAAGCATTAAGACCCGTTTGATCCTCAGATTATATCTTAGGCAAAATGCTAAGTTGGAGGCCGATGCTTCTATCTCAGAACTAGGGAGGCAGAAACAGGTGGATTCCTGGACACTCAGCTTATAAATGAGTAAGGTTGAAATGAAGGACCCTGTGCAATAATAATATGAGATGGGCAGGACCTGAGGAGTGACATTCAAGCTTGACTACTGGTCTTCTCTTACAGGAGACATGTATCAGCACCATGAACATACACACACACACACACACCCCACACACACCACACACACACACACACACACACACACACACACACACATGCACGCGCCAACACACAAACTAGAGTTGTGCTTCTACTAGCCACTAGGTACTATCCAGGATGGAAGTTTCCACCTGATCATTTCCCAGAGTACAAAAGAATGTTCTTGCAATACTTTCATTTTAGATGTCAGGCATCCAAGTGTGACATGGTACATTTCCATTTTTCTGAAGGTAGTCAGTCTACGGTACTACATAGAAAGCACACCAAGCAATTCTAATATACTAACAAGAACTAACGATGGCTAGAAGGTTGAGATAAGATGTCACAAGATTTTGTAGGCTCACATGCAGACATCTCTGGTAAATATCCAACTTCTACCATTAAGCCATTAAGCTCCTTGGGGAGTGTTGTTTAAATTTTGTTTGGTCCCTGTGATACCATGTGAATATCTACAAGGACATTTCAGCTCATCTCCCAAAAAACCATCCTTCCCTCTCCAGTCAACACTCCACATACACATCAACAGTGATCCTTCCACTGTGAAGTTGTTGGTCTTCCTTTTAAATCCTTTTCATATACCCACAGAATTAAGAAGGCAAAGCAGAATTTAAAAAGCAAAATAATACACCAGCCAAATATTGTCAACCCTCACACTCTTCCCCACAGATTCCAAGTTGTGGTCCTATATCTTCCCAACAGCAACTTGTGAAATAGGTGTGATCATTGTAAAAATGGTAAAGAAAAGGTTTCTACAAAGAATGTCTTTCTCAAGATGTCCACTACATATTTCATAGTAGATGAAAATTAGCATGTTACCATATACCAAAGATATTCACAGACACAAAAATACATTTATTATTTCACACATATAACAGACACACATTGCAGAATGCTGTCCTCATAGCATGACAGCTATAACCATCTAAATGAAAGCAGGTGTGATTCCACTCAGGAGTCATGTTGGACCTATTGAGATTCCCTCCCAGGATGTATGTCATTAGACTCTCACCAAAGATTCCTATTCCCTCGTAAAACACCTCCGGACTGCATGAAATCCTGCCCTAGCCACATATGGTCTCTAACAGTACTAGAGTGGAGAGTGGAAGCCTCAATGAGGGATATTCCAACTACACAGCCATAAGGGAGTCTTCATCTGTGCTGACGTGAGAGGTTTTGGTGACATAACTGTTTGGGGGTCACACATTACTAGAAGTACACCCTCACATGTGGTGCCGTAAGTAAGCTCAATATATTCATTAGTTTACTGGGCTAGCTAAAATTGGGATTGTTACTTTGGCCTACCATTGCTGCTCCACCTGGGGTGAGTACGTGTGTTCACAGCTCTCCTGGAAAAGTTCATGGAATACCATGTTATTGTAATGGATTATACCAACTTTTCAGTAGCCACAGAAAGTCAAGAGCTCAGAGAATTGAGATTAATTCTGTTGCCCTTTCCCTCTCCCAATCCATCATCCATCAAAAGTTCATTTAAGAGCTGTCCCAGCATTGGTGGGGGACCACACCTAAATCACCATCTTTCCATCTTTCTATTTCTCACCCATTCCCCAGCAACCACAAACCGAGTGAGTGGCTGGCAGTCTGCAGGGGCAGGGATACGTGTCAAGCTAGTCTCAAATCTGAGCCCCTGAGATCCATTTCTGCTGATTGAATCCTTCTCAGAGCGGGAAGCAGCTCTGCCCATTTCAGGGATGCATGGGGCAGTTGGCTCATCCATTCTTATATCCTGTCATTCAGACTTGCACTTCATTATGGCCTCCGTAAGAGTTACAGCCATTCCGGGCTGTCCCCATACTCCATTGCTCTTTTATTAGCCATCAACACAAATGCAATGTAAATAATTTGCAGCTGTTGGGAGAAACAATTAATCTCTTTTTTCCTTAATTAAACCTAGGGGCCTATTCATTAGAAAAGTATAACAAGCAGACACCAGGAGCTCACCTAGCATTTCAGATCCTGGCACAGTGAAGGCATGTTTCAGGTTTCAACTCTGGTTTAGACACTTGTGGGTGGAATTAAGTGAGGCAAGGAGCCTCTCAGAGTTTCAACATCTTCAACTACAAGAAGCAGGTGATGATGTCACACACAGGACATCCTGTCCCTCAAATATCCTGGATTCAGAACCTCTATCTTTTCAATATTCCGATTCATTGTGGCCTCTGGGCAGTGATGGCTTCTGGATAGAAGGGAGTTTATAGACTATCTTGAAACCTGAGACTGCCTCCTCATCAGTGGAGGCTGGTTTCCTTCTACCTATAGGTCTGCCTCCCTTTATTCCTGTCACAGCTGCTATTAGTCAGATGGCTACTTCATTAGAGGCACTTCATGCATATGGAGTGACTAATCCTCTTTACATTTATGTATCTATCTATTTATTTAGTGTATCTACATGTGTGGCCATGCATGTGCCATAGTCCATGTGTGCATGTCAGAGCACAACAGAGAGAGAAGCAGTTCTCTCCTTCCACTGCCTGAGTTGTGTGGTTCAGACTCAGGTTCTCAGGCTTGGCAACAAGCACCTTTTCTCACTGAGCCATCTCACCAGCCAAGGATCATTAATCCCTACAATTACAGCGGTGAGAATTTGTATCTCATTTCACAGGAGAGGAACTGAGATTCAAAAGGGCTTAACTGTCCCACTTGGAAAATAAAAAGGCAAACATGCATGGAGTTGACTGACTTCTCCCTCACATTCTAGTTTCCTCAAATCTTTTTGGTTTTTCAACTTTGACTGATGTTTTTCATCTTAATAAGTAAACAAAAATAATGTCTATGTTTTGTCTATAGAGCAAATCCTTAAGGTTGCAAACCAATAACCAATAATAGTGTCATAGTATAATGAGACTGTTCTCTATAGGTTCATGTTTTTAACAAATGTTCTCCAGACAGTAGAACTGTTTCAGGAGGATTAGGGTGTGTGGCCTTGTTAGAGGAAGTGTGTCACTAGGGGCAGGCTTTGAGACTTCAAAGGACTCATGGTACCACAAGTATGTTTCTGTTTCTGCCTCTATCCTCTCTGTTCTCTCTGTTCTCCCTCCCTCCCTCCCTCCCTCCCTCCCTCCCTCCCTCCCTCCCTCCCTCCTTCCCTCCCTCCCTCCCTTCCTCCTTCCCTTCTCTTTCTCTCTCTGTCACTCTGTCTCTGTCTCTCTCTGTCTCTGTCTCTCTCTCTGTCTCTCTCTGTCTCTGTCTCTCTCTCTGATTCCTACTAAGATGTAAACTCACAGCTATTACTCCCACTATCCCTTTGCTTTACCATCTAACCCTTTGAAAACTGTAAGTTCAAATTAAATATTTTCGTATAATTTGCCTTGGTCATGGTGTTTTATTACCAAAGTAACTAAGACACAGAGCTAAGGCAAGTATTGTAAATTAATTACATTTTCTTAAGAGTTCAGTGGTCATTCCAAGCACAACATCTATTCAGTGGAAATCAAATGGATCCCTATTCTCTTATTATGTGGATCAAGCTTGAGTTAACCTTCTTTCATATTGGAAGCAGCCTCCTTTGTAGATATTTTTGTTCTATGAACTTAATGGT